AACGAACACTATGGATGAAGTAAGAATAAGAACGTAACTAGCCATATAAGTTAAATAATAAACAATTTTATGCAAATATTTACCAAGGTGCGTTCATGAAAGAAAGCGAATAAACTGATAAATTTAAGCAATTTATCCCTTTTCACTTAAGATAGACCCCTAAAGTTATTTTGGGAAAATTTTCCAAAACGGATCCAGGCTTTGAAAAAAAAAAAATATTAGGGAGTATAGAGGAGCTTTTTCAGATTCTAAATCTGAAGACCCCACCCTCCGGAGGCTTATAGTTTTAAAGTAATTAGCATTTAAAGTTGCAAAAAATACCGAATTTAACCTCACCTTTTGCTTTGTACACCAATTGAAGTGAAATGTCAGTGCTGCCATACATATGAAAAAATGCCTCAAAAACACAAAACGGAAGCAATAAAAAAATGCAGATAATGATCGCGCGATATTTAATAAAAAAATTTAATTATTTATTGGTCGATTTTTGATTAAAAAGTTTCATTATTTATCGAAGTATCGAGTTTTAGAATATAAAGCGCCGCAGGCGAAAATTTTTAATAAAAAATCGCGCGATTTTTAATTAAAAATTTTCATTATTTATGGAAGTATCGATTTTTAGAATATAAAGCGCCGCAGGCGAAAATTTTTAATAAAAAATCGCGCGATTTTTTATTAAAAATTTTCGATATATATGGAACTATATTAATATATGGTTACTGGGTGTTTTATATAAAATCGCGCGATATGACGATTTTACGCACAACTCCTTTTTGTGTTGGCCGCGTTTTAATAAAATCCTTTAATAGTGGCGTATTTACTTTTAAAACGTATGGCAGCACATATTTGCTCTTACTGTCGGCCATTGTTATTTCTGTTTGTTTGTGAAAAGTGGTAAAACGTGAACACAAGTTTATAAACGCGTTTTACTTAATTAATTGGTGAATTATATATAATAAAAGCATAAAATACGCATGTGAGCATTGAAAATATAACATGTAACACAAAATATAAGTGATAAGTGGCATATTTTAAAAAAATTAGGGGGTGATAGTGGACATTATTTAACAACAAATTGCTAAAATACTATTAGCAATTATATTGTGAGAGTGAACAATTCATGTTGAGGAGGCCTCCCCCAACATCCTCACCAAGTTTCATGACGAAATTCCTTATACTTTCGCTGAAATTTCGATTGGTTCCGTTTTGGAAAGCCCACCCGTTATTTTAGAATAAAATTCGAATTTGCGTTGGTTTCAACCACTGTACTAACCAAAATAGCGAGTTCGAAATTTTACTCGTTGACGGCGCGCACGTTGCGAGAATTTCGTAGATAACACACCGAGTTCCAACAAATAACATCGCAAAATAAAACGTGAAAAAGTATTTGCGAATTTTCAGAACTGTCAAATACTGTTTGTTGGTCCAGAAGAAAATTTTTATGTGCTAATTGTTTCAAGTCGAATTGGTTAAAAAAGAAACACCGTGGTATATAAGCGCAAATCGTAGGTATGTATGTGAGTGTTGATTAGGAGAGCAATTGAATTCAATGAAATTTGTGTGGTGCGTATGTGCAAGTGTCGCACCTGCCTGTTGGCGTTTGATTTGTGGGTGTGTGCGCGAGGCATGCGTTCACCGCGTTCTGTTATGTCAATAATTCATAAAAGATTCAAAGAATTTTAATTCTGGCACTGGTACGACTACCCTGGATACTCGGCATCATTTGGAATTGTTTGGAAAAGGCAAACTTAAGTCAACATTGTCTATTTGAATCAGAAAAATATTTTATTGTTGACTCGCAAATAAATTGATTTTATATGTCGTTTTGTCCGCTGCAATTGAGTATAGAGCAGAGTGCGATGTGAGTAAATTTGTTCATGCCTTTGTAAGTCTTACTTAAGCTATTGTCTATGCAATCAAAAAATTTAGCACCGAAAGACGATTAAAGTGATAAGGCACGAATTTGCATTTGTGGCAAGTGTAGGAATGTTCGATATCGTATCGATTATTATGAATATCGATATTTCGTAGCACGATAATCGACTTTTTAATCGATATTCCAAAGTCGATATATCGAAGACATCGATACTTTACCCGCAATATCGATATTTAAGATGAAATTTGCTTAATAATACGATGTTTCCACGTTTCGTAATTCGCTCTCTAAGTAATTCGCTAAGTAATTCGTGAATTACCCTGTTTCCACGCCACATATTAGTAATTCGTTTGGCAGCTCTAGTTCTTGTTCTTGTTCTGCGCTATTTAATATTATTTTTGTGTATTGTAAATATCGGAGATGGAGCTAAAATTTAAGTTATCATCAACAATTTTAATTTATATAGAGAATATTTTATTAATATTCTATAACTAGAAAAAGTGCCAGCAATTGGGACCAGGCCGGTGAAAACTTCGATATATTTCCGATAAATATTAGAGAAGGCACCGATTCGTTCGTCATTCGCATGGTAATTCGATCTGAATTACCTACAAATGAGGTAATTCGCTCTCAAAATTTTGTATGGCGAATTATGTAATTCGGAAGGTAATTGGCAAGGCGAATGACGAATAAGAGAGCGAATAACGAATAAGAGCGAATTACGAGCGTGGAAATGCCGTATAAGGAAAATCTTTAGCTATTTGTGCAACGATTTAGGAGTGGGGGCGGAGGGGCGGGGCCGTCGACCCCAAACCTACCCCCTAAACGACAGGGGATGGACGCCGCTTTATGAAACCAAAAACACTCATTTCGTCGTCCATGATTTTTTTTCTGACGTTGGCCAACATTTTAAAATCATAAAATTAAAAAAAAAAATTTAATTGTTCACAATTGTTGTTGTTTGAGATTGAAAATGAGAATGTGTGTGTGAGTTTGAGTTTTGATTTTAAAATTATATTGTTGGCAAACGTCAGACTGCCTCGCGATGGTTTTATACTAGGTTCACATATAAGTAGATTATCCTCGTTTTCGAGCTTAACACCCTAATCTGTAATTAGAACAAGAGATTAGCCATAAAAAATTCGCCCCTTGTCAATCTGCAATTATAAAATAATATCAGATTTAACCGATAACTTTTCGGTGTCCATCCTAGTTTTATCGATTGTTTTTGCGAAAAAGAGATGTGCCAAATGTAAAAGTAAACAAAAATGGACGCTAGCAAGGAAAAGAGGTTTGTATATGTATTTTTAATAAAATGTTAAGTTAAAATATATTTATATTTCTTAATATAGCAGAAAAACGTGATCGCGGTGGCACAGAGAAGAAACATAACTTTTCCTTGAGATGTGAGAATAACAAGCACAACAAATTTGACGGCTAATAATCTGAGATTTGCCTGTGTAAACGGGGTGATTAAAAAACGAGCTTTGATTGAGATAATATTGATATGTGAACATAGTTTTACCTTGTTATGTTTTTATCATGCTGTATACTTCTTTTCCACGTTAATTCGATTTTTGTGAAAACTATAAAAGGTATATGTATAAATATGTATATCAAATGAAAGAGAATTAAATTCTCTATCAAATGACATCAAAATTTCATAAAATGTGTAATTTTAATTTTGACCTTTAATAATTGTTGTTGTTTCCCAAAAAAAAAATATATATATATATATCGCTACGCTCACCTCAATGATCTCCATCGATCCCCATATCAATTTTTTTAATTTGAGAATTGTAGGTATTCTACATTTATGCCTTCTATGCAATTGGGAGTAGGATTTTTAACGTCGATTTTTCGATGTCGATATCGTTCAATCCGTTATATCGCCATATCGGTTTTACATGCAATGAAATGAATCGATTCATGATATCGATACTTTCTTAAATATCGAACATTTCTAGGCAAGTGTCTGCAGTACTAGGTATGCCCAATATTCATCGATATTCGATTTTATCGATGATAAGACGTAAAATATCGATGTTTTATAATCGCGTGCGGACTGTAGAACATCGGCACGTCGATACCTTGCACACATAATCGAAGTGTCGATGATTCGCTGTTCATAAATACATATGTAGTTACAACTTTGCATTTCAGGTGACGTTATACCTGAACGTGGTTGTACGTATGTAAAACAATAATTCATAAAAAAGGCGAAAGTAGTAAAATATTTGATATGATTTTAAGTTGTTTAATAAATTTGTTTGAAACAAGTCGGAAATTTATACATAATTTCGAGGAAATAATGCATGAGAATAAATAATGTTAAAAATTGAGCGAACGCTTCCAATAGAACTGCTTACTTCCGTATTTGAGAATGATATCGATTGTGTAAACTCGATGAGTGTCGGTCGATGAAGATCGCTTCTCATAAAAACCATTTGCGGTTCGGAGGCGACCTAGAATTTTAGGTCCCTTCATTTGCGTGATAAGCTAAACACGCACATTACGGATGTGGAATGTTCGATATCGTATCAATTCTAAATAACGATATGGCACGATTATCTATATTCCAAGGTCAATATATTGAAGACATCGTTACTTTACCCGAAATATCGATATTTAAGTTGAAATTTATTTTTCATCTACAAAAAAGTGGATGGGAAAGTACTAAAGTAGGTTTAATCAGCAGCTTTATTTAGCTCTTAAGTTTGACAAACCGCTTGAGTCGACCGGCATGCCGTTTTAATCGTCACTAAATATACACGATGGAAATAACACAATTAGGTGAGTTGGCAGGTATAATATTATATTCAATTGGGAGTAGGATTTTCAACATCGATTTTTCCGATACCGGTATTGTTCAGCCCGATATATAGCCATATCGAATTTACATGCAATGAATTAAATCGATTCCTGATATCGATACTTTCTGAAATATCGAACATTCCTATTATGCAGACATGGGAAGGAATAAAACGATACCATGGAAGTATCGATACCTGTACTTGTAAGTAGCATCGAAGGAAAGTATCGATACCTAGCAAGTATCGGGCTAAAAGTATCGATACCTACTTATATCGATATTTGTACCTATATAAGAATAAGTTGCGTTCCCTAACTCGCAAGAAGTTGCAAGAATTTGCAGGAATTTACCAGAAAACATTCCCGTACTCGGTTCTCTGGCAAAGTAGGGAAAAAGTGGGAGAGTAAAATCGGTCCATTCTTTGTTAGAAGTTGCAAGCAACTTTTGCTGGTAAAATGTCAAATGATTTGTAAATTTAATAGGCAAAAACAAAAGTACATATGCATTTTCACCATATTAAATATATCGTAGCGAAGAAATATAAAGTTTTGTAAGTATTTTTGTTGATTTGCTAGTGTATTTGCGTATAATTTAGCAGACCGCCAAATGATAAAAAACGCCATGTAAACAAAACGGCGTGAATTTTTGTCAAAGTAACTTGCGTGACTATCATTTTTGATTTTAGGCGAATTGCAGAGGTTTAAAAGGGAAAATTTTGGGAAATGTTTAGGGGAAAATTTTAGTTTGGCATCCCCCGCGTACAAAAAAAAGGTTTTAATGCAACTATTTTGGGCTGCAATTTAGTTTGGCATCCCCGGAGTTCCGCATTAAGGTAGCTATGGAACGATAGAGGGAGTTCTCCTGATTGCAAATATATATACTTTTAGCCGCAGCAGGCTTCTAGTTTTTAAGTTATTTGTTGTTAAAGTTTGTAAATTGAACTAACCTCTCGGCGCTATTTCACACAATAAACACTTTATTTATGTGCACACTTCGGCAAAATAGGGGAAAATTTTAGTTTGGCATCCCCCGCGTACAAAAAAAAGGTTTTAATGCAACTATTTTGCCGAAGTGTGCACATAAATAAAGTGTTTATTGTGTGAAATAGCGCCGAGAGGTTAGTTCAATTTACAAACTTTAACAACAAATAACTTAAAAACTAGAAGCCTGCTGCGGCTAAAAGTATATATATTTGCAATCAGGAGAACTCCCTCTATCGTTCCATAGC